CAGCAGCAGCAGCAGCAGTAGTAGTAGTAGTAGTAGTAGAAGATGCATTGGCAGTAGACGTGGTAGATCTAGTAAGGGCGGAATTGCCTATTTATAACAACTTCACTTTTGAAGGCACTGTTGTTGAACTCAAGTCACCAGCTAAATAACTTCCAGAGAGCTTTCGACACGATCAGTCATCCTATATACTCTGCATCCATTCAATGCACGACCTGGCTATTCATTCGGTACCACTGATAATAAAAGTGGGCGGTGATTTTGCAAGCAGCTTCCTGCACCTCAACTACTTATCCCCAAGACTGATCCGCATCACATAATGTTCCGATAGTAGGCTAGGGGTAATAATAGGCGTGCAATATCAATTGTTTACATAGGAAGAGACCAGAGCGTTTAGAGGTAGTGCGATGCACAGTGCGTGTGTCACACAGACACACTACTATACAGGAATTCTCACTCAACCACACCATGTCTCAGAGGTGACTAATGGTTTATTGTAAATTAAATAGTCTATTACTATTAGATTCCCCCATTTATACAATTTTAGATGGTGGGCTAACTCGACCTAATTGTGTCAGGGTAAACTCGGAGTGAGTATATTATGTAGATCATCCTAATGAAAGATAGAGACACTCGACGAGAAGTCTCCCTCGCAGTAATGTAATTCACGCGCTCTGTGTGAAAGTGAGATACGCCGCCCATTACAAGAAGACACCGGTACTGTCGGTTTTATAGGGACGAAAAGAAAAAGAAACGAAAACACTTAATTGATAGTTCAGATATAGCCTAAAGGAACATTTATAAGTGTGGTATTTGTCACGTGTACGATAGAAAGTCGAACTATATATCACGGCTACTGTTTAACTAAAGTAGAGGAGTACTTTATTCAGAGACATCCTTGTCTAACTAAACATGATTATTTCCTTCGTGTTTATTTTTAGCTTAAGAGAAGCACATATACAAATCAAAGGTCTTTTATAGTGCAGAGAAGGCGCAAGACAGCAGACAGAATCTACAACAGTTGGAGAAAAGAAGTCAGATCTACACCTGATGTAACTATTTCGAGTCTCGTATTAAACCCGTTTTAGAACTTCACACACCTCTCTGTTTCATAGTGCTGTCAAAAATACATGGCGCAACTTAGAGTCAAATATCTCCTTAACTACTGAACATAAATTCTCCAACTTTTGCACAATGACTGGTATCAATTTGTCTTAACAGGTGAATATTTTTTCTAACTCCTGCACACTGTATTCAAGAAAATTCCTTAATGAATACTAATAAAAAATCCCAGTCGATAGTTTCCACAGATTTGGAAAAGTCACGAATTTTTGACCGCACAATAGTAGGTTCCAGTCAAATACCCCCTCTTTCTGTGGGTGTCTGACTATTTTCCTGTAGCGGAAGTGTAGGCAAGCAAAGGGAAACTTAAAAATAAATAATTTGCCCACATACCAGGTTAACAAGTATACCTTATTTGAGTAAACCATCGAGGCAAAGACCTTTTAGTAATTCTTTCGACAAACAGAAACAATATTATAATTATATTTACCTGACAACTTACCTATCGACCTACCTACTTTTTATACCTACCTACCTATTAGCCTTCCTATATATCTACTGTCCATCCATCCATCCATCCATCCATCCAGCCATCCATCCGTTCATTCATCACCAATCCATTCACTCACAGGTCTGCAGCAGTCGTTAATTTGTTTGTGTACATGCACCCTATCTATTCTAATGACTATTATATGTTCTCCCTTCTTTGACGCTCTCTCTCTCTCTCTCTCTCTCTCTCTCTCTCTCTCTCTCTCTCTCTCTCAGACAAAGCACATTTTAGGAAAGCCGTGCTAAGCCTCGCCATCGACATAGAGTACAGGCGTTTTACCCCCCACTAAGACTCTGTAATGCTCAACCAGTGATAAAAAGGCGTGGGTGAGGATCTAAAACTTGACACAACAATAAATTAGAAAAATCAATTAGTGTATGTAGCTAATGTTCTCAAAAAGAGCAGCATCCACCGTTACTGTACAATGATTTAATCGACCCCCTGTCACTATATTGTTTATTGTTCCCGCAATACACTATATGAAGTAAGACTGCTTAAAACTCAAAATCGTTGTGCCTGATTAAGAGGTGGTTGTGACTTCAGACATGGGGTTAATCATTAACAGAGTTCAAATTCAATCGAAAGTACGTTATTTATACTTTAGATTACTTCTTTGCACCACCATCGACATAATCAGACCATTAAGAGGCGTGAGACTTCGAGCTGTCTGAGCCCACCTGAGCTGAAATTTCTTTTTATCATCTATGAAACTTAAAACAATCGGTGAAAGAGCATTTGAATATTAAGGTCCCATGATTTGGAATACTTTTGCCAGTAGTTTAAGACAGGACCAAATCC